GAAGACTCTTCTGCGTTGTTTACTCAGACTCGACAGCGGCCTACCTTGCGATCAGGACCGAAGACAAACAACCAGTCGCAGAATACCAGTTTGAAGCGGAAGGCGATTTACTCACCATCGCTGAAGCAACTAGGAAAGGACTCCGGAATCAACACGGAAGACGAGGAACTTCTGGTGTCCCACCTCCTAGGAGAATTGAAGGAAGCCACTGGATTGAAGAAGTCGGATACGAAACCCCGACACCGAACATCACAACCGGGACCATCGATTTTGAAGAAAAGAGCCAACTAAGCCCACTTCCAATATCGATAGTCATCGACCCACCTGAAGAAGAAGAAGATAGACTTGACCGAGAACTTGAAGAGAGATTTGACCAAGAACTTGAAGAGACGATTAAACCCGACAAGAAGACGACACCGAAACCCGACGACGACGAAGAAATGGCCGACAACGAAAAACTAGAGCTCGGCGCTCCACCAGCGTTCAATGGAGACCGATCTAGGTTGGAAGCGTTTACAGCTCACTGCAAAATGGTGATAAAAGCGCAACCCAAGAAATTCGATAGCGACAACAAGAAGATAGCGTATGCCCTTTCGTACATGAAGGAGGGAATCGCAGAACAATGGAAGACTCAGTACATCAAAGATGCAACGACAGCCGGTCATCTTTAGGCAAGCCAAACGTTTGATCAGTTCATAACAGAACTTGAGACGGCGTTCAAACCCCTGGATAAAGGAAGAAGAGCAAGAGATATTATCGATCGACTCAGCCAAGGACAAAGCTCGGTCGACGCTTATATCAGCGCGTTCAACTCCCTAGCCAAGAATTCAGGGTACGATAACCGCTCATTGATCAAGAAGTTTGAAGACGGCTTGAACAAGGATGTACGAGTCAAGGTCCTGGAATCTAGGATCGACTGCGACGAACTAGAAGAAAAAACACCAGGTACAGGGCTACCGAAGATTCAAGAACTCGCTGTCGACGCACAACGAATTCTGAAGCTGCTCAAGAACGACAACTCCCAAGGGAGAAAGATATACCCGGATCAAGTACAATCGCAGTTCAGCGACGTACCGAAAACGTACTCGACGGCGACAACATGGCAATCCTACAACTATGGAGAACCGATGGACGTTGACGCGGTTAAGTTCCAACCGCGTTTCCAACGAATGTCGCAAGCCGAGCGTGAAAGGCACATTAAAGAAGGACTGTGCTACAAGTGTCACAAAGCGGGACATCTGTCACGGGAATGTCCGACAGCAGGGAATTCCGGAAGAGGCCGAGGAGGATGGAAAAGCCGAGGAAGAGGAGGAACGATGCGCGCAAGAATGCAGTTCTCTCAAGAAGGACTCAAGGAAATGCTAGAGGCTATGACCGACGAAGATAAAGGTCAAGCTCTAATGATGATACAGGAGGATTTTGGAACCGGTCTTTGAGGGCAGCCGCTCAAAGACCGGAAGGACGTTTTGCCTCAAGGAACCGATATGATGTATTTATTAAAGGACGAGACAATGGAAGTTGGGATGATTCACCGGTTGAATGCTCCCTCCATTGAGATAAAAGGAACCATACAACGAGGCACGAAAAGGGCTGCTGCGAACGTTTTGATAGACTCCGGTGCGACGGGTCTAGTCATCAATCAGCAATTTGTGTTGAAAAACGCAATATGGTTTGATCGCGTTGATAAACCATTCAAGATGCAAGGATTTAACGAGGCGACGTATGTCTGCAAATACAAGACGGACCTCATCCTGGAAATAGATGACGGTCAAGGCAACATACACAAGGAGAAGAACAGATTCTACGTTGGGGATATCGGGAATACCGACGTAGTCTTAGGAACGGACTGGCTGATTGAACACAACCCCGAAATTGATTGGAAACGGTACACCATCAAGATGATGAGGTGTCCGGAAGAATGCCGCACGAAACCGCCCATAACCATCCAAGCAAACCATGATCTCATACAAGATATCAAGGGAGCTTTGACAAGAGTTCGACGGTTAAGAACTGACAAGGAAGTCAAGAGATATGAAGCACCAGTATCCATCCAAGAGGATGAAGACGACGAAGAAGAAATGATACAATACGCGATTGAAGAAATGAAGGTACGAAAAATGCAGGTGCTAACGATTAAAGAATTACAGGAACGAAACGACAGGAAGTACTCAAATATGGCGCAGAAATTGGCGCAGGAAGCAAGCAAAGACAAGAAGGAAAAGTCCACAGAAGAAATGATACCCACCGAATACCATGAATATCTCGACGTTTTTGACAAGAAGAAATCGGAGAGGTTCCCAAAGCCGAAGCCATGGGACCACGAGATAAACCTGAAGGAATCATTCAAACCGAAATCGGCCAAAGCATACCCGCTTTTTGGCATGGAACGGAATGAATTGGACAACTGGATCAAGGAACAGTTGGACAAAGGATACATACGGCCATCGAAATCACCGCAGGCATCACCATTCTTCTTTGTGGGGAAGAAAGATGGGAAGCTGCGACCGACACAAGATTATCGATACCTGAACGAACACACGGTCAAGGATGCGTTTCCACTACCATTGATTCAAGAATTGGTAGACCGACTCAAGGATGCAAAATACTATTCAAAGCTGGATCTACGCTGGGGATACAACAACATCCTGATCAAGGACGGAGACCAATGGAAAGCCGCATTCTCGACACCGAAGGGATTGTATGAACCGTTAGTCATGTACTTCGGTTTATGCAACTCGCCAGCAACATTCCAACGAATGATGAACGAACTATTTGAACCGCTGATTAACCAAGGAGTGGTAGCGGTATACCTGGACGATATTCTGGTATTCACGAAAACGAAGGACGAACACAAGGAAGTGATGAAGAAGGTCCTCAAAATACTTCAAGAAAACGATCTCTTCGTTAAACCCGAAAAGTGCGAATTCGAGAAAGAAGAAATCGAGTATCTCGGACTTATCATCAAGCAAGGACATATTGCCATGGATCCTGTCAAAGTGAAGGGAATCATGGAATGGCCGGTACCGCAGAAGGTGAAACAAGTACAAGCGTTTCTCGGATTCTGCAACTTTTACCGACGATTCATTGAAGGATTTTCCAAGATTGCAAGACCACTGCATGAACTCACCAAGAAGGATAAAGAATGGAATTGGTCGGAGGAATGCCAGCAAGCATTTGAAGAATTGAAGAACCAATTCGTCAAGACACCAATGCTCGCTATGCCGGACCCGGACAGACCAATGAGGATAGAATGTGATGCGTCGGATTATGCCTATGGTGCAGTCCTCTCTCAACTGATGGATGACGACCTATGGCACCCCGTTGCATACATTTCAAAATCGCTCACACCGACGGAACGAAACTACAATGTCCACAACAAGGAACTGCTCGCGATAATCAACTCGCTGGAAGCATGGAGGCATTACCTAGAAGGATGCAAATACAAGATTGAAATATGGACGGACCACAAGAACCTGGAGTACTTTCAGAAATCGCAGAAACTATCAAGAAGGCAAGCACGATGGGCGCAGTTTCTCACTAGGTTCGACTTCGAACTAGTGCACAAGCCCGGGAAGACGAACAAGGCCGACGAACTATCAAGACGAGAAGACCACAAGACAGGAGTAGAAGATGACAACAAGGATGTGATACTCCTACCAACGACAATGTTCAAGGCACGATTTATAGGAAGAAGACAACATGATGACAAGCAGCGGATGATCATCAGGAAAATACGGATAAAGAACGAAGACGATGACTGGGAACAGCGCATCAGAAGAAACGACAAATATGACAAAGAAGTAATGAAAGCAATAGAAACGATCAAAGCCGCAGGATCGGAAAGCCTCGCAAAGGGCATGAAGGAATGGAACACCGAAGACGGTATAATCCTTTACAGAGGAAAAGTATACATACCGAAGGACGAAGATTTACGACGAGACATCGTGAAGGAGTACCACGACTCGAAGATAGGAGGACACCCAGGAAGATACAAGACAATGGAACTAGTACAGCGAAACTACTGGTGGCCAGGGATGTCGACGTTTGTCAAGAAATACATCGACGGATGTGCAACGTGTCAAGAAACGAAGATCAAGAATAACCCGACCAAGGAACCAATACACCCGACGGAGATACCTGAGTACGCATTTCACACCATTAATATCGACTTCGTAACAGATTTACCATTATGCAAAGGGAAAGATTCAATCTGTGTTATCACAGATCATCTATCCAAAAGCATGATTGTAGAACCGTGCACGAAGACGATAAATGCGGATGAAACGGCGGAAATCATACTGCGAAGAGTATTCAGCCAAAGAGAAATATCCAAGAAGATCATCTCGGATAGGGGACCGCAATTCGCATCAAAAGTTATGAAGAGTATACTTACCGGAATGGGAGTCAGGTCGGCGTTATCCACGGCATACCACCCTCAAACGAACGGAGCGGTCGAAAGACTGAATCAAGAACTGGAACAATACCTGCGGGTGTTCTGCAACCAAAACCAGAACAATTGGGTAGAACTACTACCATACGCGGAACTGTCACACAACATCAAAGAGCATGCGATTACAAAGAAGTCGCCGTTTGAAATACTGAATGGCAGAAAACCAGAATGGCCGACAGCCTTCAGGGCACAGGGCAATATGCAGTCGGCAGAAGACAGGATAAAGCAAATAAACGACGCACGACAAGAAGCACAAGCAGCAATGAAGATAGCAGCTGACTCGATTCAATTGAAAGAATCGATACACGGGATAACAGGACCGCATTTCAAGAAAGGCGACGAAGTATGGCTAGAAGGGAAGAACCTCAAGAATAACTACCCAACAGCCAAGCTGGCACCAAAGCGATTCGGGCCGTTCAAGATAGAAGACGAAGTAGGAACCGGTGCATTCAAGCTGAAACTACCCAGGACATGGAAGATACATCCTGTGTTTCATGCATCGCTTCTAACACCGTACACGCGGACGAAAGAATACGGCGAGTCACACCAGAAACCGCCACCGGATCTCATAGACGGACAAGAAGAATATGAGATAGAAACGATCACCAAATCAAGACGCCAAGGAAGAGGCTATG